AAACAACACTTCTTTCACAAATCTATATATATGTTAAATAGCTTCAACTGGTGATTCCTTTGTTAAAAACTTTATTTGAAGTTACAAGAATAAGTTTAACCTAATTTCACGATGTATTCTCGTCAAGCTCTAAGCAAGGAATCGTAACTAAAAATACAGAATTAAAAAATGAGGTCTCTTGGGAGGGAGAAGGTGCTGACTACAATACTAGGAATGACACCTGCATCTAAGCGTTGTAATCAGATAATTTCACATAACTTATATATATATATATATATATATATATATGACTCGCTGCTTTTGTATGTATACTACATCTCAAGTATACAAGAGAAAAAATGCGCTTAATTGTGTTATATGTGGTGTATTACCTATTTACCTAAAAAGTCTATAATAGGACAAAAATGAAAAAGGTGTTTTTCTAAACTTCCTCATTCTTGACCGCTCCTCACGACTTCAACAAATTATATGTATACACTTTTCAAAGCAGAAAATGAAAAAGTTCTACGGTTTAATAGCTAATTACCAACCATAAACAATCGGTACATTTATTTTAAACAATTTGTTATAGCTGACGATGATTTAAATTAACGATGTATCATATTTGGTAAACTTTACTTTGTTAAATCCTCCTTGCAGAGTTAGTCCGGTCATTGACCGCTGTTTGATATAAGAATGGAATAAATATCTTACATATAAATATATCTGTTTGCGACATGATGTCAATTTATATTTATGAATAACGTTACAAAGTGGTGAGATGAAACTGGGCAATGGTCGACGTCCACGGTCCACCTTTTACTCTTCATTTGCCCACGTGTTGTTTGATGTTATGTAGGCACGTGGGAGGTGGTTATGGTGGTTGAGAGATCGCTGGGGCCACGTGATCGCTCGATAGCCAAGGACGAATTCTCCCACTTCCGACCTACGAGGAAAGCCAGGCCCGGGGCCGCCCCCGTCTACTCACCGTCCTCATACATGATTTTATCGTTTCATTATTATTTCATCATCCATAGAATTCTTGTTTAAAACGACAACAAATTTTGTTTTTAACCGGAACCTTTAACCGTTCTTTATACATTTTCCATAAAAAATTTTTTGCACGAAACATGCATTTTGGATGCTTTTATGTACAACCTACGCTAGGCCTCATTTTTTTAGAAAATTTTACGCTGAACAGGATGGTTTTTAATAAATGTTTTCCTATCTTCAGTCATTCATCATTAAATTCAAAACTTGAGGAACACGCCAATTTTGCACTCGAAAACTTCAAATTGGGCTGTGGAACCAGGAAATCGTCCTATAGCGGCGCCCTACAACTCGCGATAGTAAATTTTAATAAGCTTAAATAGATCACCTTCCACTTGGCCAGATTTCTCAACCATTTTAGGGTTATTCACGATTTTTGGGCAAAAAACGTAATTTTTTACATGCTCATTGAAAAATCCGATCACTCTCCCGATTTTCGGAAATGCATAAATTTGAACTGTCATGTTTTACTAAAACTTTTGTTCCGAGGTTATTGTTTTTCAAAAAACAACTTTGAGTTTCGAGATGCAGAATGCTTCTGCTGTCGATAACCACTTGTTTATCTCATCACGGAAATTCAACTTTACCTTCCCATTTCACAGGCGTTGAGGCAGTTTGGCTTTGAGTAATGAATTGAAACAATAGGTTTTTGTATGGTAAAATCGGGAGAAAGAGTGATCGGTTTTTTCCATGAGCACTTAAACAACCACGTTTTTGCACAAAAATCGCTAATAACTGGAAAACGGTTGAGAAATCGGGCAAAGTGAAACATGAGAAATAGAAGGCTTATTAAATTTCCTATCAATGGCTACAAGGCGCTGCTCCAGGACGATTTCCTGGCAGTACAGCTCAATTTGAAGTTTTCAGAATAAGTGCAAAAATTAGCATGATCCCGAATTTTTAAATTTCCTGACAAATGACGGTAACTAGGAAAACGTTTAAAATATACACCTTATACAGCATAAAATTTTCGAAAAAATGAGACTTAGCGCAAGTCTGTGGCTTAAAAGGCTGAGGAAAGTTGCATTTCCGAAGTTGGCCATTTTTAGTACAAAAACCAAGTGGACTTTTTTTTCTATAGTTTATATCACGTAGAAAAACTTCTGAGTGGTCTACGGTTGTTGTGAAGTCGGCGATAAAAAATGAAGGGACTTTGCCGGTGTATTAAGCCATCGTCAATTTTTTAAAACTTTGCTGTTTGATTAAGTTTTTTTGTTTCTTTCTTAAAAGCCTCATAACAAATTTAAGTCTTTCAAAATCCTGACATTTCAACAACGCTATTTAATGAAGAAAACCACCTACTTTAAAAACTCAAAAATGTTAATGTGTGGAGGTCCAGAAACTATTATAATAGGAAAATCGGCCTCTTCGGTTTCTTCGACCCCTAAAACAAATCAAACACAAGTTTGTATAACTAATGTTTAGTGTTCGATAATGATTTTGATTAAGCGAATTGTGAAAACATTTTTGCCTGCTACATCATGTGTAGATGTTTGTGACTAGTAAAATCTTGCGAATCCGCCGTGTTTCACATGAATTGCATATTTTATTAGTAGAAATTTGTATTTTCTTTATTATGGCGGCGTTGAAGAAGGGTGTTTCAAAACGCAAAAAATCATTATTAAATTAAAAAATTGGGCACAATATTTTAAAAATATTCAAAGTATATACCGTTGGGTTCTATGGTTTGTTGCCATCTCAAGGCCAGATGTTGGATTCCTTCACAATACCACTATTTGAGTTTTGAATTCTGCAACTCAATTCAATGCAACCTCCTTCAGAGAATTCAAAGTTTTTACATGACGATAATGAGCCATGCACCGGAACAGATGGTAATCGGAAGGTGCTAAGTCTGGACTGTAAGCAGGGTCAGGGAGAAGCTCAATTCCATCCAATTCTGTAATTTTTGTTTCGTGTAACGAAAATGAGGGGTCGGCCGTTTTATGTTGAAACAAAACCCGATTTATATTTACTAATCCTGGGTAACGCTGGGTCAAAATATCACACATTTTTTTTGTAACTGCTCACAGTAAAGTTTTGAATCAATGGTTCCATCTTTATGACACACTATATCGTGCTATTGATAAAAATACAAAACAAATTAAAGCTTGAGATTTTAATTTTATAATATCTGATAATTGTTTACCGACAGCAAACTCGGCAAATAAGTTCAGTTTTCTTCGAAAAATTACGAAAGAAAATATGGTTTTATAAACTAATGTTATTTTTATCACTACAAAACTGATTAAAGGTACTACAGCTTATGTTAATATAGCATGTAGTCCATTACATAGGAGGACTTCGAACACAGCCTATTTCAAATTACCTAGCATCAATTTTAATCAAAGGCTTAAAAAAAGCTCAATTAATGACAATAAACAACACAGCTCAATGACATTGATGTAACTAATATAAAAGAATTAAAACAAGTTTACTTAATTATTGAATAAAGGTGATATCATCCACGAGAGGAACGAGGATTTCAGACGAAAATCATCATGCCCAATGAAAAGTATTCGGGAATTGGCAAGAGAGCATGGAGTTTCACAATCTACATGAACTGCTTAACTTGAGGAAAGTGAATCGCTTATTAAGAGTGGTTACTCATGAGTTGAGACATTAAGCAGGCACGACGCCGAGTAGAAATTTGACATCTTCTGAAATTCAAAATGACTTTCAGTTCATCAAAAGAATAGTTACTTGCAATATATATATANAATGAAAACTTAAAATCCTGCATTATTTTCCGGACAACCCAATATATATATATATATATATATATACACTGCTGCTTTTATATGTATACTACATCTCAAGTATACAAGAGAAAAAATGGGCTTAATTGTGTTATATGTAGTTTATTATATCATTTATTTACTTAAAAAGTTTAGAGCAAAAATGCTGCTAAATTATTGAATCATTATATAAAAAATATAAGCATAAAAAATGTCTTTCAAAAACTATAGAAATCAATAAAGTAGTATGAAAAATTAATAAAATAATAGATACAATAGCGAATAAGTTAGACGATGAAATGGGCTGCATAGGAATTTTCTGAAACTCTTGGAAATTAAAATTTATCACAATAAAACGGAGACAATACTTTTTAGCAAACGCAGCAAAAAAGCTTGACACCCTATATATAAATGTGTATATAATATGTACGTAGCCTTCATGGACAAGAAGGAATTTGGCTATATGTACATTTTATATTTTTGTGGGAACCGTTTGCGATTGACCGCAGTGATAATTCGCGGCCGCTGGGATTAGTAAATAAAATGGACGTAAGCTATTACACGTCCAATTCCTATAATAATTGAGTGCCGGTACGTCGGCTGTTGGTGGGGATTTCTGGTGCACTGCAGCGCCTGTTTCGAGGTCACTTCCCCTCCACCCAGACCACGTCGCATCCTTCAACTTAGGACCAACACCCTATTTGTTCTCTCTCTCTTTAAACTTCAACTTATTGGTATTTTGAAAAAGTTTTGTGCCTTGTTCTACCCTGCATAATGGGGCCGATTGACATTTTCTCTAGGGGACCGCACGATTGAGTGCCACCCGCCGCCCAAAACGGGATTATGATTAAGTGTCAAACAGTCTATTAAACGCTTTATGAATTATTTACACATTTTCCCGGACTCTTGTCATTTAAGCCAAATGGGGATAAATAATGGTAAACCTATTTTAATAAATTATTAATCTGAATATATATGCAATTATTTATTTTAACTGTCAAAGAACATGTGCTTTAGATCAACATTTAAAATAATATTTAATAATTTATAACCATTATTATTAAAAACATTTTTTTTAAATGAAGATTAATATAACCAGATACATAATATAAACATAAAAACAAAACAAAAAATGATACAACAATTTAGCTTATCAATTTTTGATTTCCTGCCCGGAGGAAATTTAGAGAGCAGACATAATTCTTCAAGAAACTGGCAAAAATTAAATTCACTTACCGTACTCGTCATTCCCGGGAAATGAAGAATTATCGGGTCCGAGGGCCAGTCTTTGGCTACGTAAAAATAAAAATCCCAAACTTTGTCCTTCAAATAGGTCAGGATCGTTTGGTGAAACTGGAACAAAAAGAGCAGTGCGACAATAATTAAATCATTATTGACAATTTCTCTGTTTCCGTTATTTTTGAACTTTCTTAAACAAAATGATATGATGAAAAACTGAATATGTAAATTAATGCATTAGATTTTTTATATCGTCATAAATGAATATAATGTGCACCATTTCCTTAGAGGCCTAACGATGGATCATAACTCGATGATCCGTGACCTATATCTCTATGCAGAATGTCCTTTTTAGATGGCCCGGCTGAATTTCTCTTGAACCAATGACAAAAAAACTATGAAAAAAATACGTTTTTTATATTTGTTTAGTCTGGTTTCAAATGTTTACCTTTTTGGAGAAAAATTATACTTTTACCTCAAGCCCAGTTCAACTTCAAAATTTCAAGTACGACATTATACATCCTGACACATCATTTTAAACTATTTTTTTCTATGAAAACAATGGTCCAGTCGGATTTTAAATTGGTAAAAAAATTATTAAGTTATGGCAAAAAGAAACCGGCAGCGTAATTTTGATGAGGAGCTGCACATTTTACTGTATTAAATTCACTAGTTTTCGTGGTCCGCTTGACCAATTAATATCTTTCAATTAATTAAGGTTTTTACTTGAGATTCGAACCCAAGATCTTCGGCTAGATACGCCGCTACTCTACTACTTGACCTATCGTGACTTCGATCCACTCGGACACTAACCTCCCATCTCAATTGAAAATTCATAAGGTGGGGTTGAGGACTCTGTTTATGACAGGCGTCTAACATTCCCTGAACAAATGACGATTTGGGAGGTCGAAGAAAACTCATGAATCCAAGTTCACATCTAATGGCATTCTAAACCGTTGGAATTTTCGAACGTGGGCAGAGGAAAATCCTAGAATTTTGTGCACAATGCGAATATAAAATGTGATTATTAAATAGCAAACCAAATGACTTTTTTTGTATTTTTACTTTTTGACATAACTTTGTCATTTTTTGACCAATTTAAAATCAGATTGCACCATTGTTTTCAGCGTAAAAATCCTTTAAATAGTGTGACAAGATGTATAGGATCGTATTTAAAATTTTGAAGTTGAACTCGGACTGTGTAGTTTTTCTCCAAAAATGGTAAAAAGTTTGAAACTAGACTAAAAATATATTAAACATGTTCTTTTGTTATAGCGTCATTGGTTCAAGAGAAATCCAGCCGGGCCATCTAGAAAGGACACCTTGTATAAGTAAACCAATGTTGAATTATTGGATGGTAATGTATGTTAAGATATAAGTTATAAACTTATGTGAGACTAATAAAACTTTTACATTTAGAATTTTTTTATTTTTACCTTTAAGTCAGCTTTTTTTAGTGGTAGGTTAAAAATTTTATATATATCTGAGTTTAATAAACTCCCTGGACTTTGAATTTTGTTATTCACTTGTTTGAATATTTAATAAAAACAATTAACAGAACTTTTGAAATGATGTGCCTTATTTGGTACAAACAAACGCGAAATATTTTTGTATTTAAATTTGATGGTTAAGTTACAAAAAAGTTCCTTATCTACTCCGATTGCCTTGTTTTTAACTAATTTAAGATAAATCTTATTAATAAAAGGATAATAATTATTATTATTTATACAATCGCACTAATTAATTATAGTAGAATGTAATAACACTACGTTAACAGTTCCAGTTAAAATGTTCAAAATTGATTATTTTCAATAAACGAAACGTTTCTATCAGGACTAATGGTCTTTTTAACTGATGTGAAAAAGTATTATTATCCACTTTCACAACGTTTTTGATGAACTGACAATTTTGAGATTTGTATTAGCAATTTACAGTTTCTTGATGGCGGTGTATTTTCTTAATTGAATTGGTATACATGACATAATATACAAAAATATATGTTTTTCTTTTTCGCGTTTATTTTTTGACGTTCTGAAGTTATGTATTTACTATAAGTGTAACATCCCAGGAAATGTAACTTTGAATAAGTGGTCAACACGTGGTATGATTAATAAATAATATGTGTGGTGATTAGTGACCGTTAATCGATAATTATTCAGAAATAGAAGTAGAAAATTAAAGTAATTTCTGTCGTACAGGAGGGCATAACGTTCAACTACTCGTTAGATGTCGCGAACAAGTGGTCAAACCTCTTTACAATCCTTTTTTTCTAAGTGTACTCAATTAAAAAGCCATAGGTATAGCCAGGATTCAAACCCAGAACTTCTAGGTGGCAAATACGATCTGATGATCTATCCGCCAAGTAATAAACCTCCTTCTAAATAGGTCTTACAATGTCACAATAAAAAATATTTATGTTTAAAATTATTTGTGTTTAAAAATATTTGTTTTATGACGCGATTAAATTTGCAAAAGTTTTGAAATAGTAGTCTTGTGTTTTTATATTGGTTTACTCGTATATTAATTAATACTAATTAGAATAACAGTAATTTAAATAAGTACTAGTTACTTAGTTTAACGTGTACCTTAACTATTATCCGACTACAGAACTAATGATTTTATTTCAAAAACTTAAAATCTTTTTCGGTAAGAAGCATGGCTGATTTACACAACAAATTGTACATACTGTCAGTAGCCATTTTTTAAACTCCGATATTCTACGAAGATTTTTCATATTTTACTTCAATATTTTGAGCGAAGTTAGCCACGACGAGACTACCGATTGATAATGCAATAAAAATGGAGCATCCGCTGGAACGACAGAAACACATCTAAATTATATAAATTTAAAAAAGACATCGAGCCCTGGCCTGCGGAGATTGGGTCTAGAAGCGAAAAGGTCATACTTACTAGGTAGGTCATACTAAGATACACACAGACACCTACTAATGGGGGTGAGACCACATAGATGCCCGTTGTGTGGAGATCACGGTAGAGCATAGTATATTATACTTATACGGTATAGCACAGACTGCAAAGATCTAAATCTGCAAGGAAAGAATGACCTGTGCACGGCCTTAAGGCTGATACAATATCTCAGGGCCGTAAATATTTTTAATTGTATTTGTTTTACTTTATGTATGTTATATGTGTTATTTATAGGAACGAATGTATTTATTTGAGTAAATGAAATGGTTATCCCCAATTACCAAGGGGAATATCGAGTAATCTATGTAAGTATGAAGGAATGTGTAAATGTGATTTATTAGCACGAATGGCGGGGCTAATCCCCAATTATCCCGAAGAATATCGAGTACTCTGGGGTAGTGTGAATGCTAACCAGACTAGCATGTTTTTGTTTCCGTGCAATTTATCCACAACTGACCAGGCCCTGGAGAAAAAGAGAGGCTAGCAGCAGGATAAAGCAAAGAGAGAGTTTATTACTGTAATAAAAACATCATAACTTGGGAAAAGAACATAAAAATAAATTACAAGGTTTAAAACGAGAAAATATGAAAAAAATAACATTTTGTAAGTACTGTAGGTTCATACTCAAGGCCGTTGAGATTTAAATTGCGCATTAAGATTATAGGGATTGTGTATTGTACTTAAATGAAATTACATTTTGGCGCCTTCATCCAATTTTTGAAATCTAAAAAAACCAGTGAAGACTTTACTAAAAGTTATCACTTATGTGTGGTGTTTAGTGACCGTTAATTAATGATTGTGTGGAGATCGTGAGATGCGGTCGGGTGTGGCGTAGGTTTAGAAAAACATTTTCTATTCTTACATACGTCACACCAGACCGCATCTCACGATTTCCAAATAATTAGTTATCACTTACATTGAAATATTTACACTTTAATTACCTGTTAATTTTTTTATTTATTTTCAATAATAATGAAATTAATAAGAGGATATCATAATTTTATTTCTTTTAAATTTTCCAAAAAATACTAAAATATACTAGAAACAGGTATGAATCGCTAATTGAAACTTAAATATATGATAAGAACGATTAGCTGAACAAAAATCACTTTCACAAGTCTTAAGAATTAAAATTGATTGACTTCGACTTCGCCGACAAAACATTTTAAACGATTTCGAAAGTGGACTTTCTTCCAATAAAGAAGGCCATTGATATTTAATTGAATTACAATTCAACTGTTCCTTAAACGGTACATAATTTTTCTAAACAGAGTAAGCAAGAAAAATTTAGCATTGATGTCTAAATTTTTTTATTATGAAAAGAAAAAGATTTGTCATTCGATACTAAACTAATATTTGTACTGAACGGATGCTGACTTGACTGAACTGCGGCTTACCTTGAGCGAATAAGGCAAAAATTTGGACAAAAATTCTTGTATCTCTGGAAGCTCCTCTACTTTGACCAGTCGAAAGTTTTTCCCTTCTGGCCGAACTTCCATTTCTGAAACAAACGAAAATTATTTTATTTTACCGACAATTAATTTTTTAATATCATTAATTTGTGATAAGCACACAATCTGACAAAAATGACCGAGGTTTGTCGATAATGATGAGACTTTTATCGATGATTTTAGCGATTAATAGCAAAATTTTTTAGAATCGAAAATCAACAACGCTAATAAAAAAATCGTATTAAAAACTTTGTTGCTACGTGACGGGGGTACAACCCTTCCTCTTCTTTTGTCACGCTATCAACCTTTTGACCTTTCCGCCTAACTAAAGCGTTAACATCAAAATCACCTTTAACATTTTTGCACATTTCACCGCTCTGTTAATTTACGCTCTCAATCGATGTTGGCCCGCCGTATTTAAATTGTCAGGAAAAGGCGCAGTGCGCACTAGAAAACGGGTCACGACAAACTCATTTTCCGAAACAACAAAGTTTTCGATGGATGAAATTAGGGATAGCTGCCAAGTCTAGAGCCACTAATTTGCCAGACTACTATCATGTTCTAGTTTAGTCCTTTTCAACTTTTTTTATTATTATTTTGAAGGTTTGCTGTTATATCCATCTGCTGACAAGGGTTCGTGATCTGACTTCTCTGTTTTCTCTTTCAAACCTGTATAACGCCCAAAATAGTTGTGTGTTAAGGTAACATAGGGTAAGAACGTGCGCTTTTATGAGGAAACACGAGAAACAACTTTCTTTTACAATTCAAGGAGTATTATTTTCTAAAATAGAAATATAATTTCTACATTAAATACTTGCACTATTTCGGTCAGGTATGATTGTCCAATAACAACATGTATCCCTGGTGTCCCCCTAGCCACTTTTATTTCAAACAAAGCCAAATTTCAACAAAATTTAAATTGTTACACCATTTATTTTCTATAAAGTTTGAATTTTTGTTTTAAATTTTTTCTACCACAGATTTACAGGGTATCAAAATAAACTCTTTTTTAAACACAACCCTATGTCTTAAATTACATAGTTTTTATGAAAAATTAATTTTATTAAATCAAAATAAATTCACTTCATTCGCAATCGATCAAACATTTTCCGAAATATATTTTTTTAAATAATACAGTATAAATCGTTTATAACGAACTTCAGGGGACCATAAATTTACGTACGTTTATGAGGAAGAACAATATACATACTAACCTGCTAAAGTAATTTGTGTAAAGTGTTTTTAAAACATTAATGTACGTATGTACGTGCAAATGTTAATGGAGATATTTGACTACAGTATCATTGTAATACGTAATCTGTTATCTTTTTTTGACGGTATTTTTTTAACTTCACGGCACTTATTAAATTATTTGATTTGGCCCTCTTTATTTTTCACAATTTCCTATATTTTGGAACGAGACGTCCCCCATTTCATTTGCGAGACTGCTAGCACAATCTCTCGATTCGATCCGAGAAATGAACGCGAATTTTTACTCGAACGGAAGAGACTAAGGTCGTGGTTTTAATATTTTTTTGTAATTAGAGATCTTTTTAGACATTTGATGTTAAAAAGGGGGAAGAATCTTTCCTAGAATCATTAGGCAGCTGGGGTAACTTTTGGGTAATGCCCCTATAGCCGATAGTTTGTTATAAACCGTTTCCTATGATTTTTCCTTATGACATTTCGCGAGACCGGAGATTTCGTACGTTTTAACCGGCCGTTCCTTATAACCAGTGAAGTTATAAACAATTTCTACTGTAGTAATAGTAGTCTTTTTGGCTTTCATCTTAGGATTGGTTAAAGAAATTCCAAAATAATTAATAATAAAATAAACAAATTCTGAGAAAATTGCCTGATGGTGATTCTCAAATATAAAATGCGGGCTTTTTTTTCAACCTGTTCAGAATCGCATTGTCGGTGAACTTAGAGATTCATTAGTCCATAAACAAGACAACACAAAATCTGGATGTTAGGCCAACATAACATCAACAGATGCCAAAAATGTGAACCGTCGTTCTGTATCTCCTGGGCGTAAACCCTTCAGTTCGCACGGTGCAGGTGCTAAAGTGATGGACTTTTGAAATTATGTTTTTACTAAATTCCAAAATTTTGCTAGCCCTCTGAAGTGATGTTTGAGGTTGCTCAATAAAATACGGCCGAATTGCTAATTTGGTTTAGATAGACCGTTTTCATCTAGGTGGTCCGGTGTGATTTATGACCATTCTTCGAAAATGGGTCACAAGTGTCCTGTAGGATGGTTGACTAGGTTGATTTCGATCAGGAAACCCCGGTTAGGTAGGTGGTCAGTCCTACTGCTGACCAACATTTGCGATGGCTTCCACAAAAATCTCCAACATATCAGCATTTTATTCCGGTCGGAAAAACTGACGAGGCATTATGTTCCATGCCAATAAAGCAACTAAGAGATGACGAACGTAATTCTATGATCACAATTTGTATCCATAGACGCAAGTAAACAACCAGAAAAATGAGAATTAATAAAACGCTAAAACTCTTGTTTACCGACTCCGCCTATATTAAACACAATATTTTTGAAGGTTTTTAACATTGCCCTAGCTGCTACTACCGTTACGGTAGTATACGGCTTCTGTATGCTGTACGCTTTTGTGTTTGAAAAACGAAAGTTGAATATGATACCTTGCATATCTGCGGTAGAAGGTTTTTAAAAATAAAAATTTATCCCAAATATAAAGGGTTTACAATTTAACTTGTTTGAAATCTTGCTTTGTTTACAATAAAAGTGGGAATGAAAATGGTTACCCTGTTGACTTATTTACATCGGCAGTATTTTCATTACTTGCAATAAAGTGTTCAATATTGAAGCAAGAGTTGCTTCGTGACTTGTTCGTTGTTTTAAGTAGTTTAGTAAAATTGAAATACAAGAAGTGAGTTTGAATCATAAATCGTGCGATGACTCTGAGACATAAACAGAGCTTGAAGTTCGAACGGTTAACAACGGCTCCGTGTTTCTATGATATTTATCGAGTTGCAAGTGTCTCGAAAGTTGGTTTTTGGTGTTGAGCATCTGTGGAACGTGGCTTGAAAGCGTACAAACTTTCTGGCTAATTTGGATTAGTTAATAGTAAGTTTTCTCACGGTTTTTCAAACTTAAAACAATCCAAAATGTCCGTTACCTTGGAGTCGAACGAGAGATAAGAAGACAGACTCGTATTAGTGTTGGAAAACAACGCGAGATCAAAATATCAACAATTGAGAAGATTCTTGATTTAATTATCGTTACATTCTTTTTCGATCAGAATATTTGCTCCAAACAATTTTTTATACCTTTATTTCCTTATATGGTAATAGAATAAAAGTATTTTGGAAAGAGGAATAATCTTTACTATTGGGTTGTCCGGAAAATAATGCAGGATTTTAAGTTTTCATTAAAAAAAATCTATATAAAATATTCTGTTTACGTTTACAGGATTACTCATTTGTATGAATGTCAACACTTATTAATCCTCTTCCAAATGATATTGTTTGTTTACCTCTGTAGCATTCCGCTACTTGGAAATAATTCAGTCATCCTTATAATGTCAAAGCGAGAATTTCGTACGATTTTCTTTTACGAGTTTAAACTCGGCCGAAGCGGAGCCCAAACGGCTAGAAACATTAACCAAGTCTGGGGCGAGGGTTGTGTTAATGAGTGCACTGTGCAAAGGTGGTTTAAAAAATTTCGGGAGGGAGATTTCAGCCTTGAAGATGAAGAAGGTCGTGGAAGGCCTTCCTCTCTTAATGATGATGTTCTGCGATCAGTGGTGGAAGAAAACCCCAAAACAACTGTTCGAGAACTTGCAGAGCAACTCAAAGTCAGTAAAACGACCGTCGCTGACCACCTCAAGGCGATTGGAAAAGTGAAAAAACTCGAAAATTGGGTTCCACACTCATTAAACGATCGCCAAAAAAATCAGCGCTTTGATGTTTGTGCATCACTTCTTTGTCGAAACAAAAATGACCCATTTCTGGCCAGAATTGTTACATGTGACGAAAAGTGGATTCTCTACGATAACACTAGACGTTCTGGACAGTGGCTCGACAAAGGAGAAGCTCCAATACATTTTCCAAAGCCCCAACTCATCAAAAAAAGGTAATGGTTACGGTATGGTGGGCTTCATTTGGTTTAATACACTACAGCTTCTTAAATCCTGGCGAAACCATCAATGCTGAATCATACTGTAACCAAATTAATACCATGCATCAGAAATTGGCAGTAATGAAGCCCTCTTTGGTCAATCGGAAAGGGCCCATTTTGTTGCATGACAACGCTCGACCACATGTGTCACGTGTAACGTCACAAAAATTATTGGAGCTTGGCTATGAAACTTTGCCTCACCCACCCTACTCTCCGGACCTCTCGCCTACTGACTACCATTTTTTTAGACACCTGGACCACTACTTACAACACATAATATTCAAAAATCAAACGGAACTGGAAAATGCATTTATTGACTTTATCAATTCTAAAAATTCTGAATTCTACTCAGACGGAATTAATAAGTTACCAACACGTTGGGAGAAATGTATTGAGAGTATGGGAAATTATTTTGATTAAAGAACATTGCTTTAAAGTAACTAGTTTCTTTTTTTTTGTTTAATACCAAAATCCTGCATTATTTTCCGGACAACCCAATAATAATATGAGTCGTTTAAGAAATAAGTTTTGAAACTACTTTATTCATCAAGGAATTAGGAACAATTCTCGTTGAAACATGATAGTTCAATGGAAACACTTTCCAACATTTGTCCAGTTCTGCAAAGAGTTTGTCATATTGCCTCGGCAACTGACATTGTCCCCCTACTCACGTATTTACAAATATTGTTGGGGCAATTATGTAAACTTGAAAATGATTTCAACTTACTCACATATGAAAGAGATGAAATTGAAATGTTCAAAGATATCAATCAGCCTTAAAAATAGAAACTTGATGCCTCGTTTCACCCAAACTCGTTATTGGAGTCGAAAGAAAAGACTCAAGGGGAAATACAACTTTCGGTCGACGAAATCGCCTCCAACAAAATAAGT